GCAAGGGTAAAGTGATGCACATTGTAGCAAAAAATAAATAAATAAAAATGTTTATACGCTTGTGAGATTTGAACTGACAGTGACTGACCAGGCAGACACCTCAGGGTCCTAGTGAAGATGTCAACCCAGTGTGTAGCAGCTATGAACATGGCAAATGCCATAGGAGGGATCGCTAGGAAAGGGGATTGAAAATAAAATCCCCAATATCATAATGCTGTTATACAAATCTGTTGTGCGACTTCACTTCAGAGACTGTGTACAGTTCTGGGTGCCTCAGCTCAGAAAGGATTTTGTAGAGTTGGAAAAGGTTCAGAAAAGAGCAACCGGAATGATTAAGGGGTTGGACAACACCCCTAATGAAGAAAGGTTACAACCACTTAGACTCTTGGAGATTTGGAAAATATTATTCAGCTTAGTAATGTAAATAAACCAACCAACAAATATTTGGGGCTTTACATATGGGGGGCGGAAATGAAAAAGGGGAGACATACATGATAGAGGATGTGTAAAATTATGCATGTTGTGGAGAAAGAAGGTAAAGGAAAGTCCCACTCCCTGTCTCATAATACCAGAACCCAGAACCATCAACGGAAGTTGAATGTTGGGAGTTTCAGGGCAGACAAAGGAAAGTCTTTTATCACTCAGCACGTAGTCAAGTTATGGAATTAACTCCTACTAGATGTAGTGATAGCCTTATATTCTACAAATTTTACTAATCTTCTTTTAAGGCCATCCAAATAGATGATTGTCAATGGCTACTAGACACAACAGCTTTGCTCTTGGGGGGAACATGCCTCTGAATACCAGTTGCTGGGAACTGCCAAGTGAGGAAATCACCAGAGGGCTTGCCATAGGCATCTGGTTGGTAACCGTGAGGAAAGGATGCTGCACTTAGGGTCAGTCCACGGGCAGTGAAGTTGCCTGTCTTCATGTGGATTGCAGAAAGAAGATACTGACCATCCTTGGTGGCACCGTCCAATAATAATGTACTTTTATATAAAAACAGATATTCAGACCACCTCTAATGATCTCAAAACGTACAATTTTATCCTATGACAACTCTACTGGGATACTTACAGTGGTGGCTGGTGCCCATTGGGAGTGGTGGAATGGCAGGCATGGAGGCCAACAGTAGGTGGCGCCGGAGGCAGAACTGACTAATTCTACTTTTGCCCCCATCCTCATCTCTGTCAAGTTCCACAGTGGCAGCATAGTGAGAAATGCCACCCCTCCCTTGGACTGAAAGTAAGAAGGTAGGCCGGTGGCAGAGTGAGTTTGGTGGGGCAGTGCCCCATTTGCCCTAGTGGACCATTCTTCACAGGATACTTCTAGGAATCAAATGAATCCTAATAGCAAAGAGCTAATGGGGAACTTATTAACAGCAGTATGGATGCTGCTAGCACAAAAAGGTGGGAATGTGCTTCCTCAACGTTGAAAGAGTGGTTGGTAAAGTTTTGGATTTTTTAAAGACATGGCCAAACTCATGAAATTTGTGTGGCTAATGGATGGAGAATTTCAGGAATAACTGGCTCTCATTTACTAAATTCATAAAAACTAGACACAATCTGGATATTGACAATTGCATAGGGTATTTCTCTGTGGTAAAAAAACCCCACCAGGATAACTGCAGGCTTTTTATTTAACTTTATTTAAGTGGTTTCCTTGTTATAAAAAATGAGTATCTATGTTTATATAAATTCCGTATACTATATACATTGTATTTATTCATTATTCATTATTCAAAGTTTTATCACTCTGCTACTGTCCAATATTTATGGAATTTGTTTTCATATACTTTTTGTATTTAAAAAAAACCACTATTCTTCAGATTATTTTGCCTTTTAAATGGTATTCTCTTTTAATCACCACCTCTCTTTTGAGTATTGGTGGAAAGTTAATGTTTGACAAGACTAGGCTTGGGCTCTATTTTCTCTCTGCATTGCTAACAATTCTTTTGAGTGACATCGAGTCTAAGCATAGTCATGGTTAAATGCATTCAACAACAGCTGGGAAAATGGGTCACTTGTTGACAGCTGACTAACCCCATTTCAGAGTGAAAGCACAGGATGTGTTCCAATGGCTCGACATCCGAAGGGATTTTTTTTCTTTCTTTCTTAAATAACTTACAATGCTTTCTCTAGGGAATGACAAATTTCTCATTTCCAGGACTTGTTAAAGCAGCCGAAATAGCCACTTCTAGGAAATTCTCATCAGGCTTCAAGAACCAGCAGCCCTGTCTATTTTCACACACACACACACACACACACACACACACACACACAAATGCACAAATACTCTTTTTTTAAAAAGAGCCCACAATGACTTTGATAAAGTATAACTTTAATAAGAGTCCCTTGTAAGCTGAATCTACACCATTTATGAATCAGCCCTCAAAAAGAGTCAGCAGAAAGCACAGGGAAGCTATCCCTTCCCCTCCACCTTATGTTAAGCATGCAACATCCTTAGTCGGTGACAGAAACAAAAGTGTTTATTGCACACCAGTAAAACATACCCAGGCTCAAAACACACATAGAAAGTGGGTGGAGAGGACCATTTCCTTCTTAGTCTTTGCCCAATAATTGGGGAGGGGGCGGTTTAGGTGCCCATTTCCTTCCTGGGGGCCTCCTGTGGTCACAGGCAGAAATTTAGCAGGCAACACTATTCTGAAAACCGCAACTTAATGCCAGGCAAAGCTCCACCAACTTGTTGTGTGTGCAGGTTTGCCAGGTTAAAACACACACAGCAGGTTTACTCCCGGTGGGTAGGGGGTGAGGAGCGGGGGCAGAATGTGGTCCAGTCCAGAAATAAAACTTCTCGCTTATCAAGTTGGCCAATGAATTGTCTTCCCATCTCTCAGACAAAGAGGTGGGTAAGGAAAGAATTCAAGGAGAAGGCTACCTTACATGGTTGAAAGAAGACAAAATACCCCCCCCTTCCTCATTTAAGACAAAAACAAAGGGTTTTTTTGCACCATCTGTCCATGTCTGTGCTCCCTCTTGCTCCACACTGAGAGGATTTGTGAGGGATTGAAGTGCACCTTATAGACTAAAAAAATCATTGGCGGCTGCTTAAGCCCTGTTGCCCAGACAATGGCAAGGCCCTAGAATCCCCTTCCTCCTTCCTCCCTGCCTTCCTTCCTGTTGAGTGTTCTGCCTGACTAAACAAACTAAATGTGCCTAACTCCCCTCTTGCAGCAAGTGGACTTGACCGGAGCTAAAACCAACAAAGACGGATTCTGATGGGAGCTGCCCAAGCGCTGGGCACAGAGTCAACAAGCAGGTCTCATTGAAATGCTAATGAGGCCATGTACTCCACAGCACCTCCAGTGCCCTTAACTTTTCAACCCCCCCACCCCAGCCAACAGCAAGCGATTTACAAGCTGCTCTAATGACTCACTAGGCTAAGCCCAGTGGCCTAGACTCAACAGCTGAAAGGGTTTACAGGGTTATCGCATTCAGCAGGATTTCACCGCAAATCCTCCTCATCTGCCGTTATTTTTTTGTTGTTGTTTATTGATATACTGCTATATAATAAAAAATATACCAAAGCGGGTTACAGAAGGCTCTATTTGCAATCGCTTACTGCTCTCGCAAAGTGCCTAGATTTACTGACAGGGTAAAAAAGTTAAAGGTAAAGGACCCCTGACAGTTAAGTCCAGTCACGCACAACTCTGGGATTGCGCGCTCACCTCGCTTTACTGGCCAAGGGAACCGATGTTTGTCCGCAGACTGTTTTTCCGGATCATGTGGCCAGCATGACTAAACCGTTTCTGGCGAAACCAGAGCAGCACAAGGAAACGCCGTTTACCTTCCCGCCAGAGTGGTACCTATTTATCTACTTGCACTTTGACATGTTTTCGAACTGCTAGGTATCTTTTTGCAAACTGCTTCATGGGTGGGTCTTTTTAAAAAAGCAATCAAGGGGTGTATACATTGTTTAAAATTGTGAATTGGAAAAAGAAGACATTCAGACACACAAAATAATCAGTTGTTTCTGGTGCCCTTCCATTTACCATCAAATTTCTCTGTGGCTCTTGCAATATTGTGAAATCTACCTCCCAAAGACACTGTAAAAAAATCCCATTGCCATTCACAGGGACATTGTAGAGGGATTCAGCATATGCATGCAGCCAAATGCCCAGAAGTACGGATGTGTTGATTTCTTTTTTAAGGCAGTGGTGATACACTGGGCTAAGGACTTTGGATATAATATCCAACTTTCATCCTGGGAAAAGTTATGGAAAGAGGAAATAAAATTTACTGAATGCTGTTCGTTGAAAGAAAATTATAAGAAAATGATGCATTGCTGGTATCTAACACCGAGTAAAACTGCAAAAATGTACTAAACAAGTTCTAAACCATGTTGGAAATGTAAAGAGAAAGAGGGTACTTTTTACCATATGTGGTGGACATGTAAATTGGTAAAGGCTTTCTGGGAAATGATATATAATGAGTTAAAGAAAATGTTTAAGAATACATTTGTTTAAAAACCAGAAGCCTTTTAACTAGGCATTATAGGTGAAGAGTTCCCAAGTGAAGAGCAAAGACTTTTTATGTATGCAACAATGGCAGTGAGAGTGCTACTAGCCCAGAGATGGAAGGAAGGAGAAATACCAACAAAAGAAGAATGGCAGATGAAACTGATGGAATATGCAGAAATGGCAAAACTGACAAGGAAGTTCCGAAACCAGGAAGATCAAGTATTTTCTAAAGACTGAAATACATACGTATTACTTAATACATACATTATGTAATACATACATTACTTAAAAGACCACTGTAAACAGTTAAAATCTTTGGCAGGGATGTAAAGACACTTGTAATGTGGAATTGATTTAATCATATATACATATATATATATATATATATATATATATATATAAAATAGCTAGATAAGGGTAAAAGATGCAGTAAATTTAATCTTAAACATGGAACCCATGGAGGGATGGGAGGAGGTTTAAGAGTTTGAAAGAACTCTGTATTTTAATGTTTGAAATCACTATGTTTTATATGTATAAAAACTTTTCAAAAACTTTTATAATTAAAAATTATAAAAAAGAAGAAGTGGGATGTGGTTCAGTTGTGGATGCCCAATCATTGTATCTTAAGAAAGTCTTGAATCAAGAAGGTGCTAAATTCAAGACAATTCAGTCCAGAAGGCACACACTTTGACTTAAAACAGTTACAGTGGTACCTCGGGTTAAGTACTTAATTCGTTCCGGAGGTCCGTTCTTAACCTGATGTGTTCTTAACCTGAAGCACCACTTTAGCTAATGGGGCCTCCTGCTGCCACCGCACCACCGAAGCACAATTTCTGTTCTCATCCTGAAGCAAAGTTCTTAACCTGAAGCACTATTTCTGGGTTAGCGGAGTGTGAAACCTGAAGCATATGTAACCTGAAGCATATGTAACCCGAGGTACCACTGTATTCAAAAGTTGGTTTCTCATCCTGTCATGATGGGTTCGTTTTATTCTTTGTGCTTAGACATGTGACTGCACTCTATAGCATCAAAGACCTCATACATCATTCTGTTTCTACCTCTTCCCCTCCTAAAGCTTGATCTTAGTAGCTTTTGCATACTTAGGTTTTTCTACTGCTGTCAGGGAGGCTACAAAATACTTGGTTTGTTTTCTGGCAATAAATGGCAGCAGAATTTTTGCCCCACTCCTGCTATAGGACAACTATGTTTGTTTTTAGCTATTGTAAATAAAGGTTTTTTAAAAATATTGCTTGTATGTGTGTGCTTTTAATAAAGGGAGAGAGGGAGGGAAAGATTTGTTATCTGTCTGGGTAAAAAGCATGGGGCTCATAGAATAGAGGTGGTAAAAAAAAAAGTACAAAACTGGATCCTATCCAACAGGACATAAACCCAGAAGAATTGCTTGGTCTTGTGATATAAATAGATGTTATATAATAATTGTTATCTTCTCCAAAGGTTTGCAGTCATACACAGCAGCACTGCTCCAAAGTCTGAGTGTAATGAGTTGTTGCTATGACTTTCAGGGCAGGCTCAGTTGGGTGGCAATTCAATGCTCAAAGAGCCCCACGCTTCATGGAGTACCAATCTTTGTAAAGTCGTACCTTGGAAGTTGAACAGAATCCATTCCGGAAGTCTGTTCGACTCCCAAAACATTTGGAAATCAAAGCGCGGCTTCTGATTGGCTGCAGGAAGCTCCTGCAGCCAATGAGAAACCACAGAAGCCCTGTCAGACATTTGGGTTCCAAAGAACGTTCGCAAACAGGAACAATCGTTTCCGGGTTTGCGGTGTTTGGGAGCCGCAATGTCCAAGTACCAAGGCGTTCGGGATCCAAGGTACAACTGTATTCCTCAAGGAAAGATGTCAAATGGCTTTAGAATTTGAACTTGGAGGTTGTTGAGGTTTCACAGCTATTTAAGGTGGACATCATACAACTTTGCAGCACAATGGTATACTTTTGCTTATCATGCATTTGATGACTGGGGGTGGGGGGGACAAAAGCTAATCCAGAATAAATCTGTTCGTCTTTAAGGTGCCAACATACATTCTACTCAAAGTAGAACAATTTAAAGTAATAGACCTAAGTTAGTTGTAAGTATAACATGTTGGATACAACCCTTTGTTGTCGTTTTCTTCTAAGAGACTCTCAGGACTACTCCTCTCAAAACAGTTACCCTTCCAAAAAGAGAGAGAGAAATTCCAGCGTGTTCACAATAAGGAACAGATCACAGGTATCAGAATAAAGACTCGAAGCTTCATGAAACATTTTAAACAAAGGGGAGATGAGAAAGAGAGAGAAAATCACACTTTCCCATGTAAATTACTTCACAACACTTTTAAACTACTGCCCTCCCCACATCCAAAACTGAACCTCCAGCCATTTGGAGGAAATGCCAGGATCTCATTTGAAGGAAGGAGATGCAACAAATCCCCTGTGGGGGAAAACATGTGTTCTTTCATCACAGGGGGATAAAATCACATCTCCCGGAGATGTCCATCTTTCACTTCCTATGAAACCCAGAAGCAAGGGTCACTTGCGTTTCAACTCTTCCCTCTTTGTTTGAGCATCCAAAGAGGCCCTAAGCTTCTTCCAGAAGTGGAATTTACCCATAAATGTTACTGTACAATAGCTTTTACCTGACCCAAAACCCTTTAGATAGGTCAGGCTGTAAATCTCTTTAGCATAAGCAAAAGCAGGAAACGATGCTTCTAGCTGGATCAATGCAGGAGGAAAAACAGCTCTGCCTCTGGATGTTTTATGGTGTGGCCTCTTATACCTTAACACACCACTATTAGCATATTGCTGCAATCACCAATGGCACTTTCCCCTTTAACTTCCCCTTGAATTGCCATCGAAGCTCATCAAATGCTTCCAATAAAAGGAAGCTAGCTTTTACTACACTGCTCGGCAATGCAGATAAATTCTAGGACTCAGACACATGCTCTCTGCTGGCCCCACTATCAAGAAGGAAAGAAAAGTCAGCTGAGGAACCCAGTGTGATTTTTATAGAAAGTGTACTCTATTGGTGGAAATACAATAAGGTTATCTGTTTGGGGGATTTGTTTGAAATGAATATAATATGAAATCCAGTAATATTTTGGGGGAAATTAGGGGGAAAGATCATATTTGCCAAGCAAACCAACTTATCTTATATCAAATATCTTGCACTGAAGGGAATTCTACCAATTCCATCCTAACAAGAATCCCAGCATGGGAAGATCAGCCATGCTTCAACTGGAGATATATAAAGTGGTACCTCAGGTTAAGTACTTAATTCGTTCCGGAGGTCCGTTCTTAACCTGAAACTGTTCTTAACCTGAAGCACCACTTCAGCTAATGGGGCCTCCCACTGCCGCTGCGCCGCCAGAGCACGATTTCTGTTCTCCTCCTGAAGCAAAGTTCTTAACCCAAGGTACTATTTCTGGGTTAGCAGAGTCTGTAACCTGAAGCATATGTAACCTGAAGTGTATGTAACCCGAGGTACCACTGTATATAGATGATATAGATAAACATATGTGCCAATTAGCAACTGTGCCTTTTGTTCTGGCATGATGAAACTGATCTCCCTGATATTCTTGCCTTGTGTGTCTTGTTTTTTAGACTGCAGGGACATCTTATATTTATTTATGAACAGGGCCTAGTTAATGCAGGCATCCTAGAAATAATTAACAACTATCACCATGGTGTTTTGCTTTTGTTTCTGTCAATCATATACAAGCAGAAGTGTTGGAAAGGGCCCCCACCGCTGCCACCTGAAACTCAGTGTATCTTTGGGCTAGATGAAGAAGGGGGTCAGAGCTACTGGTATAGTCCTTCCCCATGTTTAGGGGGGATGTGCATCCTGTTTTACAAAGGATACTGCTCTGTTTGAAGGGCTGGCAGAGGGCCATCCTCTTTCTGAAGGCAGCCTCTTTTTCAGGTGTGGGAAACCTTCTCCAGATGTTATTGAACTACAACTCCCATCATCCCTGACCATTAGCCATGTAGCTGATGGGAATTATAGTTCAACAACTTCTGGGGGCCCAATGTTTCCCTGTTCCTGTTTTATTTGAAGGGTGGTTCAGTATAACTCCAGTTTAAATACTTTTAAAAAGAAGGGGGCCTTGAAGTTGCCCATACCTGGACCTGGACAGCAGGCTGAGAAACTACCCATGGTCACTTTCCCACTGTGATGAGATGTATTTTAAAAGAAATTATGCAGCCCGCACTTCCTCCCAAGGAGCCTATGGTGGAAAATATGTCAATACTAAAACAATGTAACTAAAACTTCTAAAACCAGTTAAGACCAACCTCCTAAAAGGAATCACTTATTCTCAAAACGAAAGATTTCACGGTTACCAAGGACAGACCTTTTGGCCATCAAATCCCTGGGTAAACAGGAAAGTTTCTTAAAAATTCCCTAAATATTAAGAATGAAGCAGAATGATGGGAGGGCATTCCACAAATGGGGAACCACCACTGATAAGGCCCTGATAAGGCAACCCCCAATGGCAGCACCAGGAGGCTGGAGAGAGGCAACTGGCTGGGAGAGGAAGAGTGGGGAGAGTTACTGGCTATCACTCAACCCCCTGCCCTCTTGAAGAAGCTACCATCTCTAAGCTCATGTTTCTGGGAAGCATTTACCTCAGGATTAGGTTCCACTGAGGTTGTAGGCCAGGCATGGGCAAACTCGGCCCTCCAGATGTTTTGGGGCTACAACTCCCATCATCCCTAGCTAACAGGACAGTGGTCAGGGATTATGGGAGTTGTAGTCCCAAAACATCTGGAGGGCCGAGTTTGCCTATGCCTGTTGTAGGCTATCTGCCTGAGTGGCTGCAGCTGTTCAGGATACTCCCCGAACCAGTGCACCTTCTACTGGTGCTGGGGAAAGGAGAGTATAAGGACAGCCTGATGGGGATAGCGGGGGTGAGGTATATGGGGTAGGATTAAGATTATTAAAATGCCTTTTACTGGACATGGTTTCGTGATGCATGGTGTCCTTTCGGGGAGGGGGCTGTTGTGTTTTCCTTTAGGCCGTTTCCAGGGTGAGAGACTGGATGTGGTCCAAGTGAAAAGTGGTTTCACGTGCCTCGAGTGAGAGTCCACCCCACCATGGAAAAGTGCCCTTCTTGGGTGACAGGCAGGAAGGAGTGTTTAGCCTGTGTCCCAGGTGAGGGCATTTGTTCTGTCTCAGTATTGTCTTGTGTAACTCTTCGGCATTTCACTGAAAGGATGCCTACACTTTGCCAGTGTGCAACATGCAATCCCATAGAGAGGGATTTCCCACAGGGCCAAGCTGACACCCTGCTATGGAAGCGGGGCAGGGGGAGGTGTTTTCTTAAAGGCTGCGTAATCCCCGCAATAATACAAAACACGCTGCCCTGCTCTCAAGCAGCTCCCATACATTCCAGTCAGATTGCATCCGCAGTTAATTATAAACATGCAAGATGAGGGAAGCCCTGCTCTTTAAATCAGCTTTCTCATAAACACACCACTGTTTCTTAAAAGCTTTTTAATAAAATGAAATTTTAAAAATCAAATGCACTCAATGATTATTATTATTATTATTATTGAGTACTTGGACATTGGTGTTTTTCTTGAATCTCCTGCGGAGGAAGATGAGGCACGGCAGTGGCAGCAGGTGCAGTTTGATTCACAACCGAGCTGACCTTCTGTAGGAGCATGGCAGGAATTTCAAATAGGATTAGCCACCCCAGACAAGAAAAAGGTCACAGGACATTTCCACTGGAAATTCTCATGCAAATAGGCCTTTTGATACGCATGACGTTTTTTTTCCACACACATCTAATAGCTATGCATACAGAAAAAAGGAAATACTGAAACATGATGGCTAATGTATGTTAATCTTGTGAAGGTGTTGACTTCCCAGAAAACGTCAGGCTGCCAAAGGATAAGGGCATCACAGACCCTGCCTAGAAGAGAGTCCTAGCAATATTAGGACCTTGCAGAGCTGTGCAAAGGAGCAGGGCTTGTGTATTTTGATTTTAATTTGTGTTAAGGTTTAAATTATGGGGAGAGGGGGAATACATTTGCCTTAGTTTGAGCACTGTTGGAGGTCATGTACTTGCTTTAAGATCTCAAACATTGCAGCAGTTACTCGGTGGTAAGGGAAAGCACTCAAAACATGCTCAGAGGCATTATCCTCTTTACTGTTGTGTTGAAAGTAGAGTCCTGGGCGATTCTTGTTATCTTCATCTCCAATAAGAACATGAGCCTTACTGGATAAGGCAAATCAAGGCCAGCATTCTGTTCTCACAGTGGCCAGCGAAACGCGTATGGAAAGCCCACAAGTAAGATCTGAGTACAGTGGTACCTCGGGTTAAGTACTTAATTCATTCCGGAGGTCCGTACTTAACCTGAAACTGTTCTTAACCTGAAACACCACTTTAGCTGATGGGGCCTCCCGCTGTTGCTGCGCCGCCAGCGTGCGATTTCTGTTCTCATCCTGAAGCAAAGTTCTTAACTTGAAGCACTATTTCTGGGTTAGCGGAGTCTGTAACCTGAAGCGTATGTAACCCAAGGTACCACTGTATAATAGCACTCTCCCTGCTTGTGATTCACAGCAACTGTTATTCAGAGACATATGGCTTCCAAAGGTGGAGACAGAGCAGAGCCATCATGGCTACCGGCTCTGTTTTCTAATGGGCAATGTTTCTGAGGAGAGCAGCTGTGGCATTCTGAAGGCGAGGCAGTTGAGCTTCTTCTCTATCCAGTGACTGAATGGTGCCAAACCAAGCTAGAAGCATGCACTCCCAACAAAATGTCACTGGAATCTATTCTTTTCGATTAAATTATGAGATTGTATTGGAGTCGTGTTTGAGTGAGAGCACAATTACAGACACTTAATGTAAGTTTGAGGTAACTTGCCACAGCATGTACATGAGGGCTTGGTAAACTGAAGGCCTCAACTCCTCTTTAGGGGAATGGGGTGAAACTGGTAGTAGTCCATCCTTTATAAACGCTCATCCTTTACACCCCATTTGGTGTCAAGAACCCAAGCTATGCTGCCATCATATCAACTGTCTCTCCTTGGGATGAAGTATATTGGGTTTACCATCTTCTTGGGTTTAGGAGAGGACACCTACCAGAGGACACATTTCCTTTGAGAAATGCTGTCGGTTGGATCCCAGCTCCTCCCACTTTCTATCCAAGGAAGATCAGTAGCAAGTATGGAATTGGGCATGAGAAAAATGGTAGATACACCGAACATGTTTAGATAAACTACATTTCCGAATTACATCCACCCAGAAAAGTTCATGGATGAACCTAAAGCTCCCTGAAGAGAGTGCCATATTCTTAGAAGAGTGAACCATTGAGTTTCAGTCTTTCAGATAAAGCCACTTCCGGCCTGCCCAGGAGGTGGGGTTGCGGGCTTCACGCCCACCCCCCACGTGTCTCGTGTCTTTATTTATCCTGGTGGGGGGCGGGAACTCGCCACGCAAAGGCCTCACTCTCCCTCAACACAGATGGATGTGTGCCTGAATGAATTAGTAATAGTGTGATAGGAAGGCCTTTTTGCCACTTTGCCCTGGTACAAATTAAGCCACGACAGGGATGGTGTTCTATTAAACAAAGACTTTTAAAAAGAAGTTAGGACTACTGTTAAAATTATGTCAGTTTGGAGTATGTTAGAAATTATTATAAAAGCTATCATTGAAGATTACTGTTTTTCGATTCAAATGCCAGTTAAAAGTAGGTCACATGATATAGGTTGGGAGAAGATCTCGGGTATGGAAAGATGAAATAGCATTGACTTAAACGGCATTGGCTTCTTTGCTCTGGCTACATCAAGGGAGATATGGGGGGGGGAGACGCCTGTTGTCCAGTGTTAATTTGAGGACTTTATTTTTTAGGATGGAAGGAGGCCCTTCTCAACGTGAATGAAAACATTAGCACAGGAAAATTTTAGCAGGACAACTCCCTCTGAGAAAAGTCAGCCTTGGAAAGAAATGTGTACCATTTGAATTCACAAAACACTTGAAAGGTAATGATTCTTAAATTAAAATGGCAAATTATGTACCGGGACAAAAAGCTTTTTCCACCCTGATGGGTCTTAACAAGAGCAATAAACCATGTCTAACTGCACCAATATATAGCTACCATCAGCATATTGCTAAGCTACTGCACTTCTGGCTAAATCGGTTTCCTCTTAATTTCCCCTCATTGCTGAAACAGAGGGGGGAAATGCAACATAGTTTTTACAATGCCTACAAATATGAAAGGGTGAAAAGAGCTGAGGGATGCAAAAGGGCGGGAGCTTATCCCTTATGTACACATTTACTTATTTCACTGGGACATTCCCTATATTTCAAAATAAGGAAAAGAGCAAGCATTGCAGTAGTACTATGTATCTCAGCCGCTCTGCTTACTTTGTTTCCATACAAGGGTGTTTTTGGCAAAATAGAAATTTGCAAGAGATTTCCAAAATCCACAGTTGGGCAATATACTGTATTAGGATTAACCAGAATGCAACAATATCATGGCAAGCTTTTGTTTTTTCCAGAATTTTTCATCAGGCAAGAGATGGCACAGGGCAGTGCAGTGGGGTTCATTGTCTTAATTTGACAAGGAACAATACATTTGTTTCTGGAGTTTTGTCTTATGTGACAGCTGAATTTCCCAACTTGGTGCTATTTAATGACACCTCCTGAGTTCACCAAATTACCAAGGATAATGGTTCAGTCTGGACCAGTCATTATTTTTTTATTTAAGTAAGCAGATTGCCTCTTTAAAGCCAGCTAATGCTATTTAAGCAGATGGTAATCTGCTTCCAGTTTATAGAACATTTATTGAAGGGCAGTGGCACCCCTTTTGGGGGCTTGTTTGTTTGGCATAAACTAGGCACGATCATTTGATTTAAAATCTGTTTTATAATGAGGCATCTGCTTTCACTTTATAAACATTAAGTCTTTGCTACAGGGACTGCAATAGACCAGGATGAGCCTTCCCCATCCTAGTACCCTTCCAGATGTTTTGCACTACAGCTCCTATAAGTCTTTTCCAGCATAGCCAGTGACGGAAGCTGAAGTCCAAAACATCTAGAGGGCACTAGGTTGGGGAAGGCTGAACTATACTTATCACTTAAGGCTTGAGAGGACAGTAAAAAGCCTGTAGGCCAGACCTGTGACCCTCCAGATAATGTTGGACTACAACTTCCATCAGTACTAGCTACCATGGCCAGTAGTTAGAGGTGATGGGATTTGTAGTCCAGCAATGGAGGGACACAGATTCTCCATCCATGCTGTAGATGTCACAGTTTGTATTGATCTGGATGCAGGTATTACCAGTGAGGGGGTTAATGGAAGATAATGCAAAATTGGATGAAGATGAGAAATTAATCAATTGTTATGGAAGGACTGGAGAAATAGAAGAACAGAAGGAGAGAAGCAGATTTCAGAATGAAATAGTCACATTGATATTTATGTGCTTGAAGTACTTGTATTCCTGTTCCTGCCTTCTGCCTGGCCCTACCAGTCCCATGGCAGACCAGCCACCATCTTTACCATTAGTCCATGAAGACACCTCTGCACTCTCTTTTTACTTTACGAATTTGTCTTTTTCAAGCAAACCCAAAAGGGAGAGGGGAAGAGAAAAAGGGTTCAACTAAGCCAGATCTTTCCAAAGCACACTTACTTGGAATTTAGATCCACTGAAATCAATGAGACTTGCTTACGAGTAAATATGCAAACTGATTCTAAGTACGTTCTCTTCATTTTCCTTGCAGATTTTTTTTTAATCACAACTCCTAACTCTTCAGAAAGGTGGAAAAGGCAATCTACCAGGAGGTCGTCGTATATCTCCAAGCATGTGATTTTACTTTGCGATGTACCATTCTTTAACTCACATGCATGATTTATCGTGGCCCACAAAAGCTGCTCTGCAATATTCCAGCATCTCTCTCCACTCCTTGCCATCCCACATGGAGCCTTAGCTGAACTAAAATTTTGCAAACCTTTACATTGTTCTTCCTGACACCGGATCAGCAAAGACAAAAAGCAACTGCCAGCTCAAAAGCAACCCAGTGATAGAGCCTGGTGCTATCTAATCAAGGGCAAAAGGTCACTTCCGAACAACTGGGCAATAAAAGATTATTTCCAGCCACAAAACAGAAAGACTCCATGGTGGATGCTTGAAAGAGGAGGGGTGGAAGGAGGGCAAAAGGGCTCCCGTCTGTGGGAGGAAGTGCATTGAATAAAGCCAGCAGACAGGAACCATCTGGCTCTGAGCGTGGTCTGTTCTTAAGAAGACAGAGAAAGCCCCCTCAGAGGGGCCAGTGACTCCATGCAATGATTCAAACTTTTGTTGTAATTTAAAAGCTGCTTTCCCAGGCACCAAGAAATTGAAAAAGACAACTTTCCCAACACAGGGTCTGAGGGACACGTCTTATCGCATGCTGACTGCAAGACACATCCCTCATTTTTTATACAGCTCTTATTAAAAAGGTTGGATACTAAGAAGTCAGTAAATTGGAATTCCTGACGGTTAAGAATCTGATAAGCATGAATGCACATTATATTTTAAATTCAGGAATGGTCTCTTTGCCTTTCTCGCTAAAATACCCTTCCTGGTTAGGTGGCCTCACCAGATGAAAGCAAGAAAACGAAAGGAAAGATTGGCTAACTAGTTGCCTACAAAACAGCAGAATGGCAAGTATTTCCACACAAGTAGCACTGAAAGTTCAGTAGAGACATACATAGTCACTTTACCTTGCTAAACAGTCTGGAAGTTCTAAGCAGTTCAGACAGAGAAATATTCATTCTTGAGGGCCCAAATATTCACAAGACAAAAAGTCAAAACCTTCACACCGTGATGGATGACTGTTCCCCCTACCTACTCCGACATGCACAGTTTTGGAGAGGAGATGGAAAGTCACTTAACCATTCTTTACATTGACAGTCACCATTGGATAGCAACAGAGGAAAGTTCAACTCAGAAGCTCAGCTTGATAAACATTCATTTCAACATAGGAACAGCTTCAATGCAAGTCATGGCAAGCCTGGAGATTGGTTGTGGCCTAAACAAGAGTTACCTGCTGTCAGCAGGTAGATAAATTCTGTATCTTTCTGTTGTGAAGTGGTACATCACATGGCAAGATGAGAGGGCTCCAACCTTAAGCACACACTAAATGAGGCCTGAGGGGAACTGGTGACCCTTCTGATTTGCTAGGCTCCAGACACCATCATCCCAGACCATTGGTCATTCTGGCTGGTGTGGATTTATCCAATATCTGGAGGGACATCTGATGCCCTTTTAAATGTGTGGTAGTGGAAGGGTTGTTTTTGTTCTTATTTTTATTATGCACTTTGTGTTTTTATATTGTCATTTTGTGTTGTGAACTGCTCTGAGATCTATGGATGAAGGGCGCTATACAAGTTATAATAATAATAATAATAATAATAATAATAATAGACCAAGTCCTACTTCTGAGCAAACACATTTACAAAAAAAGCTACAGTAAAAAATAAAATAGAACCCAGTTCCCTATGCACCAAAGGACATAAGCCAGTCACAGGATATCAAAGGGGCATGGAAGACTTTCCAAATGCGAAAAGGGGATGTTTTAATCTCTACCAACTTTTGGAAGAGGTGAATCAAAGAAAGGAGTTTTGGTCTCAGTTAGTACCTGTGGACAATGCCAGAAAGGGTATTCTGTCTTCAACTATACTATAATTGTATTGCAACACTTCCCAAAAAGTCCCCTTACACATGGCTACTTATCTGTTGATTCCACTGAAAATCATGCTTTTTGAGGTGTTGTGAGGTCCTATGAAAGTTCTGCCTGTGGCAATGGCACATTCACACATCTGATGCTGGAGTCATCAGGCCATGGACAAGGATGCCACAATGCCACATAAATTGTGAACAACCATACTGCCAGAATAAAGTATGAAGCAGGCTAGACTCATCTCACCAGAAGACGTCACCTTTATTCTTGAGAGCGCAGTTTCCATGGAAGAAGAACTTTGGGGCCTAAAACTCTGACAACATCCTTTCCAATTTTCTTTTCCCCCAGTCAAGCCAAAAACAATTTTGTTGTCATCTTATTTTTGACCAGGTTTTTACTGGGTGCTGTTTAAAAATTATAGATTGCCTAGCTTCTAACTCATTTGCTACTTCTTTTCGCCTTTCGGTCCTTGTAAATGGCAACTATTTTCTTATAAAGGGATGTGAGCCCTTGTAAGCTGTGGGACCCAGGCAATTGGCTCAGTGCAGCAGAGCTAAGTTATGAAACAGGAAACTGTGATGTCATGTCTAGTAAAGCATCAAAAAGCACCTTGTTTAAAATAGAAATATCAGATGAGATCATTACTTTTTTTCTTAACATATTCTATTTTTTGGCATAACACCCACCTATCTGAGAGTCATTGTAAAAAGAACACTGTAAAGACTACCCAGAATCCAACCACGGTGTCAAATATTCCTATGAGCATCACTTGTTTTGGCAAATGAGGTTTCATTGGAAAACATGAAAGGAACATCAGTTTTACGTATAAGGAGCATATGCAACTCTCAGGAAGAACAAATGGTCTGAATTAGGATGGGCATTTGATAGAAACCGAAAATCCTACCATACATTTTGAATTTTATTCAACTCGTATGTGGCCAATTTTATCATTGCCATATTTGAGGGTGGCGTGGGAAGGGAGACTAGTAGGCGTGACACTGATGGACCATGATTCTGATCTAGTCAAAGTGAAGCAGCATTGATTTCAACAGGAAGGAGTCTAGCAAGTGTTTAACTTTCCCAACACAATCAGCAGACCTTAAATATTGATTTCATTGGAAAAGTAAAACATTCCGGTTTACACCATTCATTGGATAACTGAAAGTTCTGTTCCTGGCAACCCTGAAATTGTTAGCTTGAGAGTAGATTATTGCTTTTAGGAGTTTTAAACTGCTAAAAGGTTGTTTTAGCCAGGTATCTTTGGAAATGTATTTTGGAACGTGCAGGTTAAAAATTGAATACATAAATAAAATATAGAAAGCTATGGGGTGGATCATAATCATGGTCCATCTGTATTGGTCATGTGATAAGCCCTCTCCCTTCAACTCCAACAAATTGTGTCAGCTGGTTGATGAACTGATGTCAGGAAGAACTCAACAAAGCACTGGATACCCAAATTATCCTGATTGGGGCCACAACTCTGCCTCACAAATTCTTCCAACATAGTCCTCAGTGAAACTGTATTCCCTAGTCAAGTGGTCTAAGGGAAACATTACAAGGCAGGCTTTTTAAAAAGAGACTTGAAGTTTAGCTCCAACACCAACAGTCTTTGGAAGTTTGGTCTACACAGTTTGAATCTTGGAATCAAGTAGCTATGTGTGGGCACGTCACTTGCTAAAATATTGGTTTACTCTTTAATGCTATGGCTGAATTCAGCACACAGTTCTCCATTATCCAATGGCTCAGACTATGATAATCATCAATACTTTGTTTACTAAAGAATAATTAAGATAATTTGGAGAAGAAACCTATTTCATAAATTTGAGAATATTATTTTCTCTCTCTAATAGATTTCTTGTAACATTTTTAAAATGTAAAATATTATCTCCCGCTTTTCTGCTAAAGCAACATTTGAAGTTTTATTTGGTTAGAGTATTTTAGGAACTTTGGTTTGGATGCCCAAGTAAAAGAAGAAGTTAGGACTTCTATAGATTTGTTTGGATAGTATCACTTTAGGTTGCTTGCCTACTGACAAGTTATATGAAGAAAAAAGATCACCATAGACCAGATAAAATGTGGACAACTAGGTTTTCACTTACCAGCACTGCACCATAGATTGCCTAATGGGAAATCAGGTGCACATGCCAAACAACACCACCTGGAAACTCTCTCTCTCTCTCTCTCTCTCTCTCTCTCTCTCTCTCTCTCATAGAAGGCTCAGGGGAGAAGTTTGCTTTCCCTGCTGAAATGAAGATTTATTGCTGTTATGCAGGTGCAGAAGGTCACAGTTGTGTCCTAAGAAGGACTAGGCTTCTGGGTGAAAGGACATTTACAGCTGCATATATGGCACCAGCCCGGTCCCATTTCCCCCACACCAGAAAACAGCACTTGTTTCCAAGAAATGCAGATGGTTTTTGAAGAACCAGTGCAGTCCAGTTCACAAAGTTATTGCTGATTCATACATGCATGTACATTATTGGTTTTTTTTGGTGGGGGGGTCACTTTTACTCCTGCAGAAATGACAGCTGGGAGCTGGCATGTGCTGATTCAATCAGAAAGTACAGTACTGTGTTTGAGGTGATGTGCAAGTGCTGAGCAGGCCCATACACAGGTCAGAACCTGATGCTGCAGTCATTCAATGATGAAGATACATGCTAGTGGATCCCAAGACCTGGTGCCACTTTTGCTGTGGACTCAATTTGTAGCTTTGAACAACTCACCACCTGTTGTTATAACCCCTGTTGACATGGGGTGCTAATAGTAATTTAAGATGTTTCTTTGAGGAACACAATGAAGATTCGAAAACACTTTCTAAATAGCTGTCTACAAGAAATGAGTGAAAAACTATTTCCATAGTACATAATTTCAACACCAATTCACAGTGCTGTAAAAGTTCATCTACTAACACAAAAAATATTCTCATAAGTGATAGGATTGTAAAGCATGTAACATGGTTTGTCTTCAGTAGACACAATAGCCAAAGCAACATAATGCTCAGTATCAGTCAACAGATTCTAAAAAAACCACATAAATCCTATCCACATTTTGTTTGAAATAAACAATACCCCACATCTCTTCCATCCCACTGTCATTAATACGAATGCTAGACATCATCATTGTGTCTAGAAGTCAACTTCCTCCATTTCAGAAAACAAACATTTCCCAACCCTTAACAAAAAATACAACAAACCAAAACTTCATTAAAAGAACTAATTGAACAAAACCCTACCCTTACACGCATGATTTTCTCCCTGAGATGGTGAAGCAAGAGAAGAAATAAATCACATCTGACAGAAGTCAGTTATTCCACTTAACACATGATAGGAGGGCATTCATAACCTGGTGATGTGAACGTGGAAAAGATAGAGAATAGATGGACAGCAAAATCTACAGACCAGGGCCAGTGTTATAATCCAGAGCTTTTTGCCTTGATTTGGGTTCCCTTCCTTCAAGTTAATTTAAGAGAAAAGTTCGGACTTCCGGGACAGCGCCATCGGCAATGGCGGAGTTCCTCTGACAGAGAGGAACCCGCTCCGTGAAAATCGGGTCTTGCCGCCACGGCGAAGGCGGAGACCCTTTAAAAATCCCAGGCGGAGGAAGCCTGGGAATGTGGGATTCGGCTGACACCAGGAGCGCCTCCCCTACTCGCAGGGAAACCCTTTTTCGGGGGTCCGAAGCGACGTGGGGTGAGTGGCGCGGTGTTTTGAATCAACCGCTACTTTGACGGAGTGAAGCCGCACAGCCGTTGCCGGAGAGCGCTGACCTTTTCCTGCGGATATTTGGACTCTAAACAAGTACCCGTGAGTAGGACGGAAAATTGGATTAAGTATTAAGAAATATCTCAATTTGGCACCGAAATGGGAAGGTTCTAAACAGGAAGTCCACCTCCCGTTTTTTGTAAATAGATTGAAGCAAAAACTTTGTAAGCTAAAGTCTGGAAAATCGTATATAAAGTTCTAAATTTCCTTCATTCATCACCACCAAAACCCCTCTTGGAAGCAGGAGAAAAGAGGGGGATTTTAAACTGTTTAAGCCTGCAGGAGAGGGAGTAAAGAAAGATAAATTTTCCACCGTCTCAAACCTGGGAACGGGGTGTCAGAGACAGAAATTTATGGGGGAAGTTCATCGACCGTGAATGGAACGTCTTTTGACAGATAGTTAAAAAAAAGAGAGAGAGAAATATATTGATTTGATTTGAAAAATATTTGATTGCTTCTTGCAATCAAAAGAAACAAAGTATTTGAAAAGTGAAAGTAATTCTTCCTTGTTGGTCCTGCTTTTAAAAGATGGATACAAATAGAAATTGTCTCCTCTAGAAGGAGCTTGTTAATTTGTTGCCGGAGCTGATCTGGGGACCTCACAGCTGTATGATTAGGATCGTGAGACCAGACTCTAACCTTGGGGAGGGAAATGTGTTTACAAGAAGTCTTGGTGCTTGCTTTTTGCAAGACAAGTGCTTTGCTGGAGCAGATGCATGAGAAGATGGATTTGATGACTACTGCAGTTAAAAACTTTGGACAAACGGCGAATACCTATGTAGAAACCACTCAGGAACCAGCCCAGGAATCTGTTTTGATAGGGCAAGCGCAAGGGCAGAAGAAAATGGAGGAGGCTGTTGTTGAACCTCAAATAACACAAATGGAGAGACCTGAGGCCTTGCAGGAGTATAAGCCGTTGTTCTTGAAGCTCGAATCTGGAGTGGACCGGGGGGGTCTGGAGTTGTGAGGGCTCTTAACTTTGGAAAGACTTTGAAACGTGCTTTTAACTACTTTCTGGATTATAGTGTTGACTGTGGAGAATGGGACTGTGGGGAATGGGCTGATCTGCTGAGGAGAGATGAAGATACTTTTGGATTGGAGTCCCCCCGAGACCTACCCCTCAATGAGAAAGGAAAGAAAATAAGAAAAAGATCAACAAAAGATAAAGTAAAGGGCAGGTATAAACAAGAAGAAGACCTGCAGAAGGGACATGGAAAAGATTTAAGAGCCTCGGACATAAGGGCACCAGGTTGATGGATTAGATAGACGAGAAAGGACTGACAAAACCCGAGACCAGGAAGAAGAGACGTTGGATGAAGATTGGAAGAAAGTTTCAAAATTTATTTAGAAAAGTATTGTAAAATTAATGAGTATTAGAAAAATGTTGGAATGAAATTATTTGGCTTCAGCAGAAATGTCAAAAAGAATAATGAAAGAATATGTTATGGTTAAAAAAGTTTGGTATACATAAGTTTTAAGTTTTAGGGTTTTTTTAGATAAGATAAGGTTAAAATAGATTAAGGTAATTTAAATGACAGAATATTGTGAAAGATAGAACGGATTTGCTGAGATAATTAACAACTAGAATACAAAAAAGGGAGGTGTGAGGAGGTTGTTGAAATAAGTTAATGAAAGTTAAGGATTTGGGAATATTAGATTTGTTTTTTAATTGTTTGTTTATTTTTGTTTTTTGATTTAGATGTATTGTGTGTTTTGTTATTTATTTTGTTCGACTTTGGTTTTTATTGATCTGTATTGTGTAATTGTTATGTTTATCTACTTTTTTCCTTCTTTTTCTTCTTCTTTTATATTTTCTTTATTTTTTCTTTGTAATTTTAAAATTCTCAATAAACATCATTTAAAAAAAAAAAATTTAGAGAAAAGTTACTAAGGCTGCAAGCCTAACTTCACTTACCCTGGGAGTGAGCCTCATTGAATTCAACTCTGAGTAGACATGGTTCAGATTGTGCAATTAGGAGTGTTCACTTCATTCTTTCTACCTCTTTAAACCGAATAGCATCCTCAAGTTTAAAACTAAGATTTACATCAACCTTTGTTGTGAAGCTGACACCACAGCTCTTGTCTCATGAAGGTGCAATAAAATTGCACGGAAAAGATAGGAGGATATTGAAAGAAAACATGATGGTGAAGAAAACATAGCAAAAGGAAAAAGGTGTCCAGCTTCAAGTTGGTGAGGTTGTTGACGCTGCAATGCAGGCCAAATTTTGTTTGTACTGCGCATGTCACAAACGGACAAACTTCTTCAAGCAGCACGTAGTTAAACCATGAAACTCGCTCCCACGGGAGGAAGCGATGGCCAAGAGGATTGGACAAATTCTTGGGGCACAGGGCTACTAGTCATGATGGCTATGCTCTGCCTCCACAGCTGCTCTTGTGCTAGAAACCTGCTTCCTGGTTTACCACCAGCATCTGTCTTGGCCACTGTGGGAACAGGCTGATGGACTAGATGAGGCATTAGCCTTCTCCAGCAGATTCTTCGTATGTTCTTATGACACTATAAAGGTAAAGGGACCCCTGACTATAAGGTCCAGTTGCGGACGACTCTGGGGTTGCAGCACTCATCTCACTTTACTGGCCGAGGGAGCCGGCATTTGTCCGCAGACAGCTTCCGGGTCATGTGGCCTGGATGACTAAGCTGCTTCTGGGGAACCAGAGCAGCGCATGGAAACGCCGTTTACCTGAACTACCGACTCTTGAAGAATGGAGAATGAAACTTATAGATTATGCAGAACTGGACAAACTAACTGGGAAGATTAGATATTAACGGGACCACAAGTTCATCGAGGACTGGGGAAAATTTGCTGAATATCTGAAAAGTATATGTGATGAACAAACAACGCTAGTGGGATTTAAAGAGGCTTTGTGAAAGTTAGAGTATTGTTAAACAGTAATAGGACAGTAAGGGTTATATTGGAATGCAATATTAAATTTAAAAACTGTGTAAAAATGGAAAAATATGGATGATTGGCAGAGAAGCTGATGGAAGTCCAAAAAGTTGAAATTTGTGAAAACTGTTTGATATGGCGAATTTGTATAATGGAAAATTTAATAAAAAATTATTTAAAAAAGGAAACGCCGTTTACCTTCCTGCCGGAGCAGTACCTATTTATCTACTTGTACTTTGACGTGCTTTCAAACTGCTAGGTTGGCAGGAGCTGGGACCGAGCAACGGGAGCTCACACCGTAGCGGGGATTTGAACCGTGAACTTCTGATCAGCAAGCCCTAGGCTCTGTGGTTTAGACCACAGCGCCACCAGCATCCCTTGTCTATAACTTTTGGGGTTTATTCATCTAAGTGACTCATTGAGTAACCTTGGGTCAGCCACCATGCCTAGCTCACCTCACAGGGCAGTTGTGTGGATAGAATTGTGACAGGGAGAGAACCATGCAATTTTATATCTTTCAGCTCCATGGAAGAACAACAGGATGCAGAAAATAAACCACTTAAATACCCAGGGACAGTGGCTTTACCATTCAGTTCAACTTCAACAGAGGCAGCTGTGCAGGAACTCATACTCTCCAGTAGCATAGATGGAAGCCTGGTGTGCTGCAAATCTGTAGAGCCACAGAGGGCTAGAGATTGCTATCAACTCTTTAAAGAAGGGTCAGTGCTCGAGGGAGCAGGAGTCTGGCCACCCTACTATTTGACAATCTCTTTGCTCCTTTTTTTCAGAGGGTTACGAAGGACCACAAGTTGACCACAACTGGTGGATTTCAGAGAGTGAGGCTTCCCCCACCCTAACCATTTGACCACTGATCAGAAATACATTTTTCATTAGGTTTTCAGTATAATACCCAGTTATCTATGCGATGCTTAACAGTATCCAGCAACTATAAATAAAGTATACGTAAAAACCCTATTAATGAATATACGTAATAGTAAATACTTTCTTCCCATACATGATCAGCAAACAATTAAAAATTAAAAATGGGCAGTGGAATAGCAGAGCACCTGCAAAAAAGGTACCAGATCGATAAACAAAGTTGCACTGCATATCACTTTCTCTAATAGTGAATGCAGGTGATGGAAGCTGACTGAAATGCAGACCAAACAGGGCTAAGGAGAAACAAAAGACAGATATTTACATCCCCTCCTCCAATGGAGATTCAGCATGCCAATGAGAAACAGAAAATTAGAATTTAGCATTTTGGAGGAGTGTATGACTGGCAGACATTCTGAATACGAACACTTCTGTTGAGTAAACACATACTGCAACACCTTGTTGCAGGCCCCAATTGTTTAAGTATAAATTAGCATGTTTCAAGAGGATGAACTTTTAAAAAGCAAACAAACAAGGCAGATTGATCTCTTGCAGTTGTGTTGCGTTTTCCAACAAACTGCTTCACTCTCGCTTTTGCATTTGGGGTGTGTAAAATTCTATCCAACCTATGCTCCAGCCAGATCCCTGAGAGCCACATTTACTAATGCAAAGACAGTGACAGCAGGAACTTACAGCAGCTTTTGAACTGGCATATAGAAGAGCCTTTCAAGCTTTTATCAGCTCTAAAAAAAAAGGAGGGGGAGAAGGGAAGCAAACATTATCTATTGTTAATTACCTGTAAAGTAGGGCTTTAGCCACTTCCCCTGTTCCTAAGAGCTCTGAAGTGAAACCTGAAAGAAGCCACCCATTGTTTTCTATTGTGCAAGCGCCAGAAGCAAATAGGGCTCAGATTGCAGCTCTGAAAAGCAACAGGAAATTGGCGCACAGCTAATCTGCCCTGAACTATTCATAGTAACAAAAGGCTACATTCCTGCTAAAACATTCCCCATTAGAAATCCAAGGCAGATCTTGGAAGAAGACCGCAGAATAAATTTGTGGAAATAAAAGGTTTTTAATTAAAAGACTGGGATCCGGGCATAAGTTGCTGACCATGAAAATAACATGTATTATGTATTTTTTTCCCCTCCAGCAGGGCTAGTCTGTTGCAGCAAAAACAACAAAGGAGTCCCGTGGCAACTTAAAGACTAACACATTTATTTATATGGCATAAGCTTTTGTGGACTAAAGCCCAGGTTGTCAGACACTGGTCGTTAAGAATTGTCAAAGTCTTCTAAGATGCCACAGAAGGCTTTGATGCATTATGTATGCCTCCTCCTCCTTACAACCCCCTCCCCAAAAGCCAAATGTTCAGGAGCCTTGTTATCTTGCAGGAGATTCTGAAGGCCAGACCAGCTGTGGCTCTCATTTGGAAGCCATCTAATAGGGCCAAGTACAAGCAATACCAATGACAAACCTAGACAGCATCTTAAAAAGTAGAGACATCACCTTGCCAACAAAGGTCCATATAGTAAAAGCTATGGTTTTCCCAGTAGCGATGTATGGAAGTGAAAGCTGGACCATAAAGAAGGCTGATCGCCGAAGAATTGATGCTTTTGAATTATGGTGCTGGAGGAGACTCTTGAGAGTCCCATGGACTGCAAGAAGATCAAACCTATCCATTCTGAAGGAAATCAGCCCTGAGTGCTCACTGGAAGGACAGATCGTGAAGCTGAGGCTCCAATACTTTGGCCACCTCATGAGAAGAGAAGACTCCCTGGAAAAGACCCTGATGTTTGGAAAGATGGAGGGCACAAGGAGAAGGGGACGACAGAGGACAAGATGGTTGGACAGTGTTCTCGAAGCTACCAGCATGAGTTTGACCAAACTGCGGGAGGCAGTGGAAGACAGAAGTGCCTGGCGTGCTCTGGTCCAGGGGGTCACGAAGAGTCGGACACGACTAAACGACTAAACAACAACAACACAAGCAATACAGACAACAACTAGTGTGTTGTTCAATTATTCAATAATGAAACATATAGGTACAGTCTAGGTAGAGTCTGCCTTTCAGAAGCACCTAAGAAGTGCCTGCCGCATTAGGCCTACGCCTCATCTAGTCTAGCATCCTGTTCTCACAGTGGCCAACTCCATTTCCCACATGACGATCTGGCTGTTTTACTCTCTCCCTGCAAAAGGGAGGGGGAGCCTGTGGGCCTCTGGATGTTGCTGAACTATGACTCCCATCATCTCTGACCACTGGCCATGCAGCCTGATGGGGGCTGGGATTCCAGCAACACCAGAAGGGTCCATAGGATCCCCATCTCTTCTCTACAAGTGGAGGACGTAAGGTGAAGCCCAGTCTTCTATTTGCACAAAGGGAAACATTGGTCATAAAACACTCCGCTCTATGGGGATGATCAGGAACTTACCTCTCAAGAACTTTCAATGACAAGATGTATTTGCAATTGCAGGGCCAGTACGTTGCTTAATTATCTAACTTGGACTGCAATCATAAGCACATTTCCCATTGAACTCAATGGAACTTTTGAGTTAGGCATGAATAGGATCAAGGTGCTAGCACTTCTAGCAATGCTTAATTGCAGCTGGCTAAACTATGTAGCCCAGGTAACTTTGAATTAATGCAGAATTTTTTTTACCTTCTGCCGTGCTCCAGCACCTTAACTTCCATCAGGTTCTACTTCTACACGTGAATGAGCAAAGCTTCGTGTGTCTCCATTTAATGTTCCTCTGATTTAGTGTGTCTTTGTTTTAGAAGGCTGTGTGTGTGTGTGTGTGTGTGTGTGTGTGTGTGTGTGTGTATATACACTCAGTGTTTTGCTAACTATAATTCTTGTTGGCTTCATAACTTCATTACCAGACTCTTAAGGTTAAAGTAAAATGCATATCTTTTACTATTTTAATGTGAATAAAGCTCTAGAAATGTGGCTCTAGAATTCAAATGAACTGGCCATTATAAATCCTTTAGTTCATGTGAGCAAGCAATGTTCTGTTCATGGATAGCCGTTTTTAGCATTAACTTAAAACGCAGCATCTCATCCCAAGACGTGTCCTCTCAGAGAGTGGATTTATAAGAGAAAAGCATTCATTTGTGGAAATACATAATGTGGATCATTCTGTCACTATGACAAGATGTGGAAAATTAACTGGCAAAAATGAAGTGTCTGATGGGAGAGCCTCTGTAAGCTTCAACTCTTCTCTTAGGGAGATAACTGGTGTCCCCATCTTCAGAACTGTAGCATTTTGGCTCATTAATAATTGTTCAAATGTTCACCACAGATACCTTAGCTGGGCAATCTTGAATAAGAACTCATCACATCTTGTCAGAGATCTCTAAAGGGATTCTCAAGCCATTTCTGTCAGGCCTCTATACACATTTCTTCAATTCCATATTAATACCATTGTTATTTTTTTAAAAAAACCCACAGCAATTAGCCACACAATTTAAACCAATGCATTGTTGCATGAAATATATTAAGAAATCAAAAGAAAATACTTTTTATAAAAGTAAAAGGAAAGAACCTAACAGCTCGGTTGCCTTTCATTCAGTGATCTCCACAGCTGGAAGGCAGCACCTATAAATCACAGCCAATAAGTTGATTCCTTGCATTATCTTCACTCACTGAGCCTCAGGATGAATTCACACATCAGTTCTGAGAAAGTGATTTAGATGGATCTATGCAGAGTCAAGTACCTCCTGCAGCCTTCCTGTTATTGCTTCACCAGATACCCAGAGCACAGCTCACCTCAAACCAATTATTTGTTGCAAACTCTGTTTATACACTCAGACCACATTCTCAACATGCTAACTTGGGTGTGTGAAAAAGCCTACAGTAAAAAGGAAATATATCTGTTCCATGTGGCTATTTCAAATGCCAGTTAATTAAAAAGTTGGCTAGGGCAGTTGTTCATTTCAGGAGAACTATTTTGCAAATCAGAACATTAATCTGTCAACCATATAGAGAGATTTCATTCCCATATCCGGCACCTGTCCTAGCAAGCTCATCTTCCAGCTCTGTCTTTTCTTCAGACAGACAAAAATGCTAGCATTTAAAGCAGCAATGTGGAGAACCTGTAGTCAGGGACGATGGGTCCAGCAACTTTTGGAGAGCCTCAAGTTCCCAACCTCTGATTTAAAGACTAGTACAGCTAGTAAAACCATAAATTGACAATAAATAAATAAATAAAATCCTAAATTATTTGCCTTTTGATAGACCTGAAAACCAGTTTGCAACCACCTTTTTAAAAAAACCAACATTATAGTAATACCAGTTTTGGTTCAAACTAAAAAGATCCAATCCACTGATTTACGTAGATGAAAGAATTCCCAATATTGTCAAAATATGAAAACTCACTAGCTTGGTTAATATCCACATTACCAGCATTTCATTTAGCTTAGACCCATTGCAAAGTGTTGAAACAAGCTTCTTGGCAAAAATATCTCTTGCATGGGCTTTCTAAATAACATGCAAATGATCAACAGTTCCCAAGTTTTGATACTTACTGTAACTATGTGTTCAAGCCAAAGTGGGTTTCAGCAGCCCACCACCTCTGTAAGGTTGCTGGAAAACCCAAGGAAGCAAGCAGGTGCTCATGCTAGCCTTGTTATCACTTGCTTGGAGGCTACAGACACCCTTTCCTACAGGTGCCATGAATCAGCCTCTCAAAATTGGCTTCTCTCACCCACCTGAATCTATTTACTGATTTTACTTGCAAAGAATGTCTGTAACCACCAACACTAAGGGGGGGAAAATATTGTGGCAGTGAACGGCATAAATCAACAATTACATTCATAAAACAAGTGCAGAATTTAATCTAACCACTGCGTTATAGGGCTAGAAATCAGGTTTAAGTCCAATTCACATGACAGAATAATTTCTTTCATAGCCATCTTTTAATTTAGCTGAATAATGCATAGAAGGCTGTATACAGAACATTCCCATTCATGGGAACCTCCACCATCTAACCAGATATTGTGCTGTTGGCACTGGGAAAGGACTTTGAATACCACAAAATGTAACACCTTGTTTGTACTCTTCTTTCTTCTTACAAAATGTACTCATGGAATCTGGTTCAATTTTACATTTACACCCAGGAACCTGACTTATACAAAATCAGACCATTTACGGTATCCATCCAATTCAGTATTTTCTGCACTACAAGTACCATTCTTGTAGCATCAGAATCTCTGTCATTCAAAAACAAAACTCGATCCAAGACGTAGTTACACGGTGTCTCATTACCTACACTGTCAGAATACTTAAGTCTCAATTTTGTACCTGGTGGCAACATCCTTTGAATTCTTTCCTTAATGAGACTTTGAGGCGAAGCCATACGATTAGTCCAAATGCCTGACATTTTAATATCGACCAGCAGTGCTGTAAATAAACCCAATGGGCCACAGGAACGAGCTTGATATCCTTCCTCAAATGTTCATATTGTTATCTTGGGAAGTACTGAAAAAGGTTCCAACTGAGTCTAAGGCTGGGGTAGCCAGGGTGACTGCCAGATGCTGTTGAATCACACACTGGCTACATTTGATCTCAGGCATTAGCCTTCTCGGTAGACACCTTAACTATACCACACAGAGCTAAGACACCTGCAGAACTCCCCAATAAATTCCCCAAGTAACCAACAGGGTATTTCATTACCCTCAAGAAAATATGTGGGAGCATGCAAGATCTAAACGGATACAGAACTCATCATTAGACAGAAGAGCAGCATAACCGATCCCCCAGCAGTGTGGTTTAGACTAAACATACTGCAATGTTCAAAGTATTATATTGTGCATACGAAGAGCTTGTTGAAAATTATATATAGCAACTACAGTGTTTGCACGTTATGTATGACACATAACAGTATCCAATTTGGGAGAAGTGCTAGTTCCCTGCCTGAGACAAAATAGTCATGTGCAACATCAGCCATGTGCTGATTCCACCATTCAGCATGCATTAACATGTGCCAGCTTCTGGTGCTCCTTAAAAGCAAAGGCTGAAATAAGTGCAAAGATTGTAGGCAAAGATCCATGCTACTTAGGCTTCTCTAGTTGCTTTTCCTGCTGCTTCCCATGTTCAATTGTTGTGAATAGCTCTAAGAATAGATCTAGTAAAACAGCTACAAACAAACATGCCACTTTTAAAAAAAAACCAAACCAAACCAGGATCGATCACTGAATGCTAGGAATAAATTACCCTATTTTTCTTGGGTTGGTGGTTTGCTTGTTTTTAATAGTCTCTACAGTATTAGCTGTGCAGGAAATAAAAGGCAAACAGTCCATTGACCAAGTTACATAATCTGAAAATAATTGTGGCTCCAGTGTTCACATATGAATTGTTCTGTTTTAGACTAGCCTGTGCCTTTAAAAAGAAAAAGAAGAAAGCCTGAAAACTAGCAGGTCCAATCCAAATTATAAGCAAATGAATAAAACAGCAATGCTCTTAAAAACTTGTATATCACATAATTGGCATTGCTCAAAGTTCAATTCGCAAATGCAGTCATACCTCGGGTTACAGACACTTCAGTTTGCGCGTTTTCAGGTTGCGCACCGCGCCAAACCTAGAAGTACTGGAAAGTGTTACTTCCGGGTTTTGGTGCTCGTGCATGCTCAGAACCGCTAAATCATGCTTTGCGCATGCGGAGAAGCGCCGAATTGCGACCCATGTGTGGGTTGCGAACGTGCCTCCCACACGGATCACAGTCACAACCCAAGCGTCCACTGTACTATCTTAAATGCAACTTTTCACAGCTATCATAGCACTCTCAAATGACATTTTACAATATTCATCATATGCCCAAAGTATGGCATCCTGTGCGTTTTGAAGAGATACAGAAGACAGGAGCAATAGCAACACAAAAGCAATCTGTATGAAATACTGTACTCCATTTCACAGACAAAACATACTGTGAGTATTATGAAAATATATTCCCAAATGAGAAGCACTATCACAAGGGGGCACTGAGTGCAACAGATGTGCAAAGAATGGATCATATCAAAAGATACTAAGAAAAAATATCACATCCTCCTTCTTTTCCTTGTGAAAGAGAGATGATTTTATGAAAAGCAATTGGAGAATTGGGAAATGAGATCCTGTTTATTAGCCAAGTACCTTGATAAATTATGAGCATTATGGAGATTGTATTATGTTGCTGTTTTCAGAGATCTCTCCTCTTTCTATCCCCACCAAATAGATGATCAGTGCTAAAAGGAAGAGTAGATTTGGTCTCCTGTACAAAAACCAAATGTGCTGTGGTGGCTGACTGTGCTTATGTGGTTTTCAATGTTGGGGGTTTTCTCATCACCACAATCTCATGTACATGCAGGGTCATATCTGTTTCCGAAACAGAAAACCACACACAAAATCCTGTATCTGCACTTACACCTGCTAAATTAGGATGCTTGTACAAAATGCCAAAACTTCAACCCAAAAACTTTTAAGAAAATATCCATACTTTTACTAGATAAACTGCTTTTTCCCTTGCAAAAGGTGCAACTTTTAAGGTAAAGTACTGACATTACAGTGAGCCTTTTTACACAAACATTTTTAATAAACCAACAAAGAAAGAACACACTGAATGTGTGACTGTTGCTTCAGTCGCAAGAGCTGGACTCACTTGAATCTTCTACAAGACCGAAGATGGCAATGATCAAGATTTTGGAAACCACTGCTTAGCAACATATGCTTTCTTGAGAAACTTAAAATAAGGAAAGTTGCTTGTATGGGCACTGCAGTTCCCACTAAATCTCAAAAGATACAATACTACGTCCCAACTCCACCTGTGGACAACAGATTAGAACAGTGCCAAGAGATAGACCAGTGGAGCAAATTCTGTATTAAAATTTCTGTGGAACCATCTGGCAGCTAATAGCAGTGAACGAACAGGCCCCATTGGGCCACAAGAATTAGGGAAGCCCAGAAGCTCCTTCAACTACTGGACTTTATTAACACAAAGTACTTTTGTTATTCTGATTCTTAATTTTTTATTCAGATGCAAACTTGAAAATAGATGCATTTTCTTCAGCTGATATGCAATTCAATCAACTAACACGTTGCTGCTAAAATGGCACGATTGGCATTTCAGAAAAAGAAAGCACTTAAACTGCTGATGGTAAATGGAAGTTTCCATAATGCCTTCTGAGGAAGTGAAACAGAAGACCCCAGTTGCCATACCAAAAAATAGTAGAAAAGAGATTCAGCACCATAGGTCATTTTGAAAACAAGGGTGGGGAACCTGTGACTCCCCTCCTTCTATCAGCCCCAGCCAATGGCCAAGGATGATGGGAGTTGTAGTCCAACATCATCTGAGGGGCCACTGGTCGCCCACCTGTCTTGTAAATTCCAATGAGTGGGATGGATACAAGTCATTTGCACATTTCATGAAATTAGCAGATGCTAAATTGTGATTGGTTCGGAAACTGTTCTTATTTTGTAGTACACTTATGGCCTGTAGGTTAGGAGAGCCAGTGTGGTGTAGTGGTTAAGAGCGGTAGACTCGTAATCTGGGGAACTGGGTTCGTGTCTCCGCTCCTCCACATGCAGCTGCTGGGTGACCTTGGGCTAGTCACACTTCTCTTAAGTCTCTCAGCCCCACTCAACTCACAGTGTTTGTTGTGGGGGAGGAAGGGAAAGGAGAATGTTAGCAGCTTTGAGACTCCTTAAAGGGAGTGAAAGGCGGGATATCAAATCCAAACTCTCAAAATCTTTGGGGGGTGGGGGGCTGAATCACGATGGTCCTTCACAGACATAGGGCAATTTTTGCGATCCCATTTTCACACTTGGAGCCATGAGGACTACAAACTTTTAAAGACAATGCAAGAATTTGTAAGGAGTCCACAGAAACATCATTTGGGGTCCACATGTTCTCCACCCCAAACAAAATATATGAATGCTGAGAAATATCCCAAGAGTTAAAAACTTTTCTGATTTTTTTTTAAGTGATTAAATAAAACTAGAATACTAGCAGTGGTTTCACAGTCATGAAAAAAATGGAAAATAAAAGCAGCAGTACTCTTACTTACTAATACTGCTATTAACAACTTATTGTTATATTAAAAAATAAAGAACCCAAGAGACGTTTTCATTAATTATTATATTTTCTGCATTATAGTTTAACATATGTACTTTCTTCGTGTCATCCTTATTTTCGTTAAGTATTGGTATTTTGTTATATTCAGACAGGAGTACATTTTTGGAACAGTCCTTTGTAATAAATATCATAAAATAATAGAAATTCACATAATAAATATTCTTTACAATAAAAAAGTTTTAACAGACCTTTGTCTTAAAAATAGTCAGAATTCAACTTTGTGTTTTTACATAAAATATACAAAAAGCACCACAATTTGTGGCTAAGGCAATAAAAACAGAGGATTAAAGTTATCGAGCACAGAGTAGAGTTAAATGTCATTAAACCACAGAAATAATAGAAGTGTTAAGAGATCCAAGAATGTTTACACAACTTAAAACTGTATGATACCTGAAGAGTATTACTCAGATGTGCAGAAATCAACAACTTTAGCATCAAAAGAGGAAAAAAAGGGGGGGGAGAGTGAAAACTTAGGACCTTGTACAATTCTGAAAGCTATAGAAACCAATGAAGAAAGCTGTAGTCATAGAATCATAGAATTGTAGAGTTGGAAGGGACCCCAAGGGTTATCTAGTCCAACCCCTGCAATTCAAGGAATCTAAGCTAGAGCACCACAATATTCTCATAGCATTTCTAGTGAAGATGGTGTGTGTGTTTGGGTGTGTTGGAAATCCAAGCTAGATAAGGCTTTGCAATACGAATCAGGAAATTCTAAAAGAACTGTTGAGATGGGAGCAAAAGCCAGGATGGTTGCAATCCATAAAGACAGCAGGACTAGGTTTGCTAAGTTTTAACCCAACTATTTTAAAAAACGCTTTCTTTTCTTTAAAGCTTCATAATTCAGTTCTTTCACACACACACAAATACTTTGAAATAATCACTTGGAAGCCACTAAAAATCAGTTTAAAATTGTTATAGAGGACAAACAAAAACAGCATCTTTGGAAAGTTGCTTGCAGAGCAGGTGGCTTCAGAAAAACCCAATTCCCTCATTACTTCTTTCAGGAATGGATTACTCACAAACCTGAAGACGACTGGGAGATTAGATGCAAGTACATGGGCTACACTTACCCAAAGACCAAGGGGGGGGGGGATCCCAGATTTGCCTTTTGCTGAGAGAAGCTATGATGTGAGAGGAGGATCATTTGTGCATGTAAGTAAGGAAAAAAGATAAGGGGGAAGGGGGGGAGGCAAAGACAGAAAAGCCAGCCACAACCTGAACGACAGTCTGAGGAACTCAACCTTTCCCCGCGCCCCCATAAATCAGGAGGGCTTGCCTTGACCCCTCGAGGGGCAACTTTCCAGCTTACAATAAACTGTGTTGGAGTTCTTGCACCTGCAACCTGGGCGATTGATCCGGTCGTAACACCCCCGGCACAGTTTCAGGCATCCTTTTGCCGGAGGATAGCAGAGCAGGCAAGGCAAAACCAAGGCCATGGCTCCCATGCACAAGTACCTAGTCCAGCAATGCGACTGGGAACAAGAGCAAGGATTATCTGCGTAGGAGTCCCCTTCATCGTCGTTGGAACAGTGGTAGAAGATCCCTTTGACCAGGCACATGCAGGTGCTGTATTCCACCATGCTCTCCGCAGAGCACAAGCACTGCCGGTTGCAGGCCAGGCAAGAGGGCAAGGCCCTGGGTGCTGTGCACTCCCCACACTTGCACTTCCCGCACTGTTCACAGATAAACTTGTGCTGGGCCAGGTCCTCTTTCAAAGGACTCTTCAGGTCCTCCACGACCAGAGACGATGGCTTGGGCTGCGTCCAGATGGGCCTTTCCAATCTGTGGCCCGGCCCTGGCCTGCACGGGGGCGACCTCAGGAGTAGGCCCTGCTCCGAGGAAGCGCTGCTGTTACTTCCAGAACTGGCTGCGCTGCCGGTGCTGGTCGACCTGCTGAGCACTGGAGCCCTGGCGTTGTGTTGATGCAGCGCGTGCCCCGGGTGGCTGGGCCGGTGCTCGTAATTATTATTCACATTAATCGGTATGTTTTCATGAGTCCTTTCGTGCTTCTCTTGCCTGGGAGCTGTCCGTGGGGCAGACTTCTTCACCACAGATGGGCCCTCCGTGTATTCGTTGCTGCCCCTGATAGTCTTGATCTGGTCTAGAGACAAGATCGTGGGGGGCTGAAGCTCTCTCTCATAGTCCACCCTTTGCCGGCTGTCCAAAGAAGGCTGCTGAAGGACCACTAATGAACTGCCACTTCCATGCTGACCTTGGGACTCCATCTGTCGTGATCTCTACTTCTGGCATTCACCAGGAACCTGGCATGCATCGGAAATCCTAAAAGAGAGGCAGAGAGAAAAACAAGAGTTGAAAAGGGAGACTGCTTCTCCTAAAACGAAAACACACACACACAGCAGCAGCAGCAAAAAATAAAATACACCACCCAAACAAATAAAAACATTTTACAGCAAGCCACAAATTGGCCTAACTACCTATTAACAATATCCCAGGGATGGAATTACACTGGCTTCGAGTAAAAGGGCACATAGCAGTTTAAAACAAATACGTATGTGTTATATGAGAGTAGATATTGTAAATAAAGCACACCGAAGATTAACTTACAGTTTAAGGAACGAAACAAAAATCTTTCATGTTTGCATAGCTTTTCTTTCCAAGCGTGAAGTTATGAGCGTTATGCATGCACATTTTATTCTTATAGTTATTTCATGCTACATCAAACATAGCTGAAGCTACTTCAGGTACATTCCCCCTTATGTCTAACCACCGACTGCAACATAAAATGTGCTTCAAAGCCACATTACAGAATCACATTCATGCCCCGAAACTGCAGGACCTGTAAGAAGCTCTTGCCCGTTTTCGCTGTCAAAGCCACATTCCAATACCAAGCCTGATTCTAAACTCAAATTCAGCATAGCTGCCTTTTTAACTGCTATTCCATGACGCCTGAAGCATATTAGCAATGGGGAAAGCATGTGAAGAATTTTTTTCTTTTCTGGGAGTAAATATCTCTTTCCAAAATTTTTTTAAAAAATCAAAACAATCTAGCACGCTCATTAAAGCAAAACACCAGATGTAAACATCCTGTTACACAATAGGCTTCCAAGTATTCTTGGACCATAAGGCAGGGTGTGAAAGGAGGAGGTGGAGGCAGGAAAGGGTTGCAGCAGAAAAGATAAGACAAATAAAGTATGGCATTTAATCAGTTGTTTGGGAAGATTATGTGCACCTTCACTTGTAAGTGAAAAGTATGCTATCTGCTGCACAAAATAAGAGGGAGGGGAGGAATAGTTAGACAGGATTCAAAATGGCGTATATTAGACAGATAAGACATAAATGTGTTTTTTTCGTTTGAACCATCTTGGATCTCTTGGGACCACTATTGCAAGACGCTACTGAAGTGGTCATCTGTTAATTTCTGGGGAAGCCTTTTTTTTTAAAGTGACAATTTGCTGTTCAAAATATTGTTTCAAAAAGAGTGAAACACTTGATTTGAAAAATTTCCCGCATTCCTCCCCTGAACAAAACAAAGCGTTAATGTAATGTTACATTTAGTTCTATGTAACACACTGGGTATTTTAGCAGCAGTTTTACATAGAACATACCAGCAAGCGAGGTCAGAAGGATGAGTCCATTTTAGGCATAATGGCAGCAAAGACTGAGTCTCCTGAAGGAGTTCATAACTGCGGAAAATTTGAGCCAGATAGCAGCTCACATGCTTAAGCGCTGCACGCACCAGATGCCTTAGTTTTAAGATCCTGCTTCCATTCCTTTATGGAGGTTGACTAAGGTGGGCCTCCAATATAGAACCTTAAATGCCATCTATTCAGACCCCCTGATCAAAATAATAGTGGTGTTTATAAATAAATGTGGATCTGTCATTCAGTAATTAGACAAAAGGAAGTAAGGAATCAACCAACATTTGGTTTCCAACAGCAAATGTCATCAAAACTGTACTGCCTCACAGCTGAAGGACCACAACATCTCCCCACCTGTGTTCTTCTCTAAGACATTTTAAAAACACCCCAAAAGAAATCATGCAGTAATTTAAAAGAGGGAAGAATATGTTTCTTTAATCAGAACATGTGGGGAGGGGGAAGCAAGGGACCGCTCAGGTTCACCCCACCCCACCTATCACCTGTTCAAGGTGTAGAGAGTGCAAGACAAAGAGCTCTGCTCAACTCAGTCACACCTTATCTGCCTCACACAAGTTTTCCTTTTCATAGGCTTTTATAAAGAGCACTAGAGAATTCTTTCTATTGTTGTCCTTTTTTAAGAGTCAGTAGCTTTGAGCCATTCTTTGAAGCAGACTGGGGTTCTTGGGATGTTAAAATGTAGGGTGGGAACTGCTACAGAGCTTCTTAGGAGGAGGGTGGGATAGAATTGTTTGCAAAAGTCACACACAAAAAACCAGCCAGGTATCCTATCAGTATTTCTTCCTAAGCAAATCCCAAAGTGTTCATGGAGCCTTGCTCCAGAACAAGGAGTTTAGGATTGCAGCCTTAATTATTCCAACAAAATAAAAAGGCAGGACGTAGACAACACAAGCAGCAGTTCAGTACAATCCTATGGCTACAAGGGAGTAAATGTTACTGTGTTCCATAGGGCTTACACCCAGGTAAAGTATACACAGGGCTGCAGTCTGTGACAGCTATCTATCTATCTATCTAGTATTCTTAACTCCCCACCCATAAAAGGCTTCCTTGTAAGGCATCAGCCCTGCGTTTCTATCAGCAGCCTTCTAACAGCAGACTTTCCGTTTGAAAGGGGGGGGGGAGAAATGCTGTAAAAACTCAGCCCTGAATGGACTCTCAAAGAGAAAAACGAGAAAGCACCAAGGGCAGCACTGCCCACTCTGCAACCCGATCTCAGCGGAGGCGATGAATGCAGAGCTGACAGAGAGGAAGAGGAAAAAGTTATGAATGAAAACAAGGGATTATTTCCCCCAGCCTCCCCACCCACCCATTTGCAGGAGGAGGGGAAATGGCTGAGGTTACCATTACCTCAGGGGGACGGACTTTCCAGTACTTAAAGCTGCACTGCACACTCCTTTCTCCTCTACCTTTCAAGACCAATACGAAAGTTGTGTGTGCTAGTTTGAGCATGCAGGGATTTTCCCCCCTCTCCCCCCTGGTGCTTTCTGAGGAGGCGGAGTGGAAGGACGGGGGAAGCCTCTTTATCATCTTTGTCTTACCCACCATTTCCTCCTTGCAGCCTCCACGCCTTTCTACTGACCTGCTAAAATCTCACTCAGACTCAAAAGGGGAAATCCCTGCCTTGCCGACTACGTTCAATGAAGCGCACACTCACACCACGAAGCAAGAGCAATAGGGAAAGGAATCATCTCACTGCGCTCCAACCACCAGTTGCAGCTACCACAGACACAATATTTTTGAACGCTTGCTGAAAAAACTACAAATAATAAGGATGGCCGGAATTTCCACCTGCCTCTAGCACATTAAGAGAGACCATCTCTGCCTTGCAAGTGCGCTAGACCTCAGACCTTTTATATATATATATATAAAATAAAAATAACTATTTCACACAGATCCCTGAAAACTCCCATGAACCTGCACTGGCAAAGATGCACCAGAACTCCCTCCAGATACAGGATGTTAAGAGGCACCTAATCCACATTAAACAACTTGAGAATGGGCAAGCAACCCCAGGTGGAATCTACCCCCTCTGCGCACTAAGCGAAGGTGCAAATGAGGGTTGATCACGTGGGATTCAAAACCAAGCATAAATTCCAACCCATGCCTACACAGTACTCGAGTTAGACAATGCAGCCATAATTCAAGTCACCCAAGCCACACACTGATCACTTCTTTCGGTGTAAACAAGCCCGCAGATAATGTCAAATAGGTTTCATGTCATTGCAACGAACACCCATGGAAATCAATGGATGTGTCAGCTGCCTCAGTGGGAGAATGCATGTAAAAAACAACACGCACCCACAGGGTCTCGCACCTTAAGCCAGAGGTTTTGAGGAAGTGCATTAGCTAGTTCTCCCGCCAGAAGCACCTGGCAGCAGAGGCCGGTCCTCCCCCCTCCCCTGCTTTGATCCACCCGTGTCGTCGTCCCCTCCGGGCTTTCCGCTGAGTCCGAGCCTATTCCTTGCCCGCAGCAACAAGTTCAGAAATCTCGCCTGCGCGCGTTGCCGTTCAGCAGAAAGCCACCCGAGCGCCGCCCCCCCCCCCCAAGCGCCTGGGGAAAGAGGACGTGCGTCGTGTGGGAAACAGCCTTGGCCGCCGCCGCCAGCCCCCCACCCCACCCCACCGCGAGAGGAAGAGGAGCCAGCTGGGCACCTGCTAACCCCTCGGGCTCCCCCGGCGCGAAACCAGGCGGCGGCGGCAAGATCCACATTGCGAAGTGGAGGCAGAAGAGGACGGGCGCAAACTTACGTCTTCCAAGGGCCGATCCGCGCGAAAGCACTGCCCTGCTAGGTTAGATCCATAGGGCAGCGGGGCTCCGGCAAGTCTCCACGCGCCCAGGCGCCGCAATCCTCGCTGGTGGCCCCCGAGACCCGCTTCTTCGGCGCCCGCCTTTCCTGCTGCCGAGGCTACGGAGCGGCCGCGACGCCCTCGCGCGCAAGGAAATCCGCCTCGCCGGCCCGCCAAACACCTCTCCAGCCGAAGCACGCACATTCAAGGGGGTGCCCTACACGCGCCCCTCCTCGAGATGGTCGTCCATGAGCCGAGCAGGCTTTTCTCTCAGGAGCAGCGACAGGCGATCCGGTGCGGGAGGGGGGTGGAGGCTGGAGGGGGAAGAAGAGGCGTCTCCGGCTGCCAGGTAAAAAAAGGAGACCGAGCTGCTTTTGCAACGGCTGTCGCTCGCTCTGCAGCAATGCAAAGGCGCGCAGCTTGGAGAGGGTCGCCTGGAAGCAGCGGAGGAGGTGGGAGCGAAGAGTGTTTGCAAAGCGAGCTTGCTGCTGCTGCGGCTGCCCCGCCGGTTCCCTCCTGCTTTCCTCCAAGTTGGAGCTTTCTTCCCCCTTTTTTCTCTCCTCTCTCTCTCTTTCTTTCTCCCCCTCCCTCTCTCCTTTGGAGGCGCACGATTTCCCCTCCCAAGTAAAGCGCGCGTGCAGGCGAGCGAGTCCAACTGCTTCCTCGACTCCGAGCTTTTTCACCACATGGTCCTTCGCCCGCAGCTCCCCTCTCCTCTTAGGCTAGCCGGGGAGAGGGAGAGAGAAGAGAACGTGCAACGGGAACGCCTGGGAGAATAACAATAAAAAATAATTTTTTTAAAAAAACAACACGATCTGAGCAAGGAGTATAAGAAAAGAAAGCACTGCAGGCACGAGAAGAGTGAATTCCATATGTAAGGGAAAGGGGGAGGGAGGCAATGGATTCTGCAAAAGCTGCCATGTGCTTGCTGGTGCAGACTGGTTGACAGTCTTGCTACACCACCAGCATGGCGGGGCGGGACGGGGGACAGACCCCGCGGACATAATGCAAATCGGGGGTACGCACGCACGCACACGATCTTTGCACGAGGAGCAAACGACCCCCTTGCATGGGGCGGGGTGGGGGACTGCGGATTGCCGCGTCTTCTTCGCTCGAGGCTACTCGGAAGGCTCGCAGCGTACAACGCATTTAAGTCGCTGCATCGGACAGCAGATCGCAGTGAAATGATACGAGGACGTGTTTTAGAAAGCGCTTTTTAAGCGAGCGGTGGGCTCCGCGCGAGTCGTCCGCCTAGCTCAGCCGATATGCACGGGCACCCAGCAGCACCTGAGCTACTTCCGAAATGCCTCGCGCAAAAAAAAAGGGGGGGGAGCCCTCCAGATCACGCTTACCGAACGAGCAGGTTCAGAGTCCTTTTGCAAAGCCCAATCGCGGCAGCTGGAGGTAAATCCAAGGACGCCTGCCGTTGTTGCCGCCGCCTGCTGCTATCCCTTCGCCAACTGCTCTGCGCTTTCGCGTTGCTGTTTCAGAATGAGCCGAACTGCACGGCAGCCTTGCAGCGCCGAGCCCCCACCTCAGCCTCGCGTCACGCCTCCAATGATGTCAATCTGTCACTCAGGAAGCGGACGGGAAAACCTGGGCTGGATTTCTCTCCTCCTCCTCCTCCCCCCCCCCCCAGCTTCTACGTTTATTCTTTCCCATTCATTCATGCGTTTACCAGTGTTTGTTTACCAGCCTTCTGCGTTTCTTTTGCGTACCGCGAAAAAAGCGACGCAGACGGTCTTCCCCTATGGCGTTAGTCATTCACGGACTGTGGAAGGTTTATGGGTACAAAACGCAAACCCAAGTCCTAAAGTACCTATTAAGATGACTTCACCCCAAACAGCTCTTTTTTGCTCATTCCAATGACCTCTGTGTACTCGCGAGTGCGGGTGGGGGGTGCTGTTCACCCTTTCCGTCAACAGAACATACACGCCTATATTAAGAAATGTACCCCATTGAGTTGAAGCACATTTAAATCCAGGTAACTGGGTATAGGATAGCAGCCTTAATTATTGTGATCATAGAACCAGAACCTGGTCATTCTTTCGAATTAATTTACCTAGAAAGAGCATGCAATTTATTTATTTATTTATTTTATTTAAACACTTTATCTACTCCTTAACTATAAGGGTCTCCAAGTGGTTTGCAGAGACTGTGCTCTTATAGGACAATCATGTGCATGTTTACTCAGAAGTAAGTTGCACTATATTCCCTAGTAAATGTGCATGCAGACTTATTGACATTTAATCCTAACCTTAAGACCTTAAGGTAAAGGATCAAAATTGATACTGCTAATTTAAACAATAAATGTAAGTCCAATTAAATCATGTGAATATAATTTTGACTCATGAATGCTTTGCATGACAGTGCTTGTTTTATTTATTAACTTTATTTCATCCCCTGGAATTGTACAGTTGTGTAAAATAGAATTAGATTTAGTCAAATAAAATTTGCTGCTCATAAATGCAGTAAAAAAAAAAAAAAAAACTGAGGTAAAAGTAAATTACCCGTCCAGCTTCTAGGTATATAATGGGAATAAGCACCATCTTGTTCTTCTACCCAGATAGCAAACTGTCTTGGGCCTGTCATAAACAACTAGCAATCCCTCTCAACTTCAATAAAAATCAAGCCCAGATCCCCCTGAATTGGCCTGGGATTGGGGCACAGCCCTATTAGCTTCCTGCCAAATTTGATATCAACGCAGTTTCAAAAGATATAATTTTGAATCAAAATGGTGGATTCAGTCTTAAGAGGGGTCTAAATGCTTGCACTTTGGAACAGTTCAGTGAACCATCTTTATTCAAAATGGCATCTGACGGTATCCAAACACAGACCCAAAGTCGCTGCTCAATCTTCAGAACTGACATGCCAAATTGGGTGACAATATCTTCAAAGGTGTCCAAATCAGTTCAGTTTGGAATGGTTCAGTCTGCCAACTTGATTCAAAATGGTGCCCAACAGTATCTAGTCATAGACCAAAACCTGCTCCTCCGTATTAGCATAGTTTGGAATGTTTCGGTCCACTATCTTGATTCAATATGGGGTTCAATGGTATCCAAACATAGACAAAATCTGGCTCCTCCATCTTGGGAAATGTCATTCCCAATTGGGTGGTGATATTACAAGAGATATTTGAGTGCATAGAGGACAGACGGACAAGCAACTTTCCAAAATACAGTAATTGTGCTGCTGCTACTACTACTACCAAAGTCAGGGGTCACACTTTCTAGGGCTATAGAAATTTGTGACACGTTTAAGGACTGTAGATTTGACTGTACTTGTATTCGCTGGGAGAATGATGAAAGGTGGCTCCTCTAATTATAGTTGATAAAGGCACCAGAGGAAATCTATCATGACTGATAAATAGCACATCACTTCAAAAACAACCGAGGTAGAAATCTTGCCCATTTTTCCTCAAGCAGAAGCCACTCCCTGGGTGTGGAGTAAATTATCAAAGGAAGTGGGAGAGCTTTGCACTAATTTAAATAGATTGCTTTGTGTATGTTTATATTGTCCATTCACTAGTGAAGACCTGGGATCTTTCTAATGAGGCTGTCTGGAACAAATCAGTTTACGGACTCTTATAACATGCCCTGCATCTCTTAAAACTGGAATGTCCATTATCCTTTAGGTGGTGTAATATGTCACTGTCAGTTGAGCAAAGTCTCAAGGGTACCTCAGTGCTGTGCGTCTGCCTGTAGAGAGAATCAGGTTTGCTATTTTGGCACACCCCAAATTTGCCAATCTTTCTGCTACTCTTTACAAACCAAACAGCCAACAGAAGGTTACCCCATTCATTGTAGGTTCCACCATCAACAAAATTCTCCTTCGTGTGCTTCTGACTCAATGATAAAGGGCTCAACCAATAGCACAGGAAGCTGCACTTGGAACAAGTCCTCGTCTGATGGTGATAGAATAAGTTTATTAATCAGGGATAGAAAACCAAGGCTGTTTTCTGTGGGCAAGTCCAGACAGGTGCTTTTTCTTGCAAATGGGTCACTCGGATCACATTTTTCTGTGTGCATGATTGACACACGGCCCTCCACACACTTTTTCATAGGTATCATTCTGCTGTTTCCCACCCACAACAGTGGCCGGTCCATGATGAAATATTTCCATGCTCTTTTCTAACCCCTCTCCTCAGTTACTCCTCTTCCACCCCCTGCTACATTTTACCATTTGGAGCATGTCTGCAGGTGTTTCTGCACCTGTGCACACGCACACTTTTAAAGTAATTTTCCCCCACAGGAAGAGCACTATAGCACACATTAACAGCCCCTCATTACGTTCATTTCCATTAGAGTTTTAAAAAAATTAAGTATTACTATAGAGGTATTGTGCAAGACTGATATTTTGCTATGCCATAATTCTGATAGCTATCGGTTCCAATAAGGAGATCTTTGGGCAGTTATTATCACAATTCTGATTTATGCACTGTGATTAGTCTCCAAGGCAGGCTTCCCCAAAGGTGGCCCTCCAGATGTTTTGAGACTACAATTCCCATAATCCCTGACCACTGGTTCTGGTAGCTAGGGATCATGGGAGTTGTAGGCCAAAAACATCTTGAGGGCCAAGTTTGAGGAAGCCTGCTCCAAGGTAATTCCCCACGTGTTGAAATCTTCACAGAACAGCACTGCCGAACTACGTTGATGAAATCCCAACATGTGCTCAATGTGCATCATGTGCAAATGGGCATGCTGCTAGGTTATGCTCAGGTAAAAAGCAAGTGGAAGTTGGGGTGCAGCAATAGGAACCACCCAATGAAACATCACCACACATGTGACAGCCCCCTCCCCTCCAAAAACCCAAAATTCTGCTTTTGAGTTTTCACAACAGCAGTGGATGTGTGGATAGATAATGGATCCTTTTTGCTTAGCGGTTTTTCCCAGTAAAAGGAAATCTGGAATAAAAAGCATTTTGATGACGACAACATTCTGTGACAGTACAAAACACCTGCACGCATGAAGTCCACAATAAACCTGCATCTGGAAGCACCTGTTGCCACAGCTTCAAGCTTGAAGAATGGTTTGTTTATTTAAATTATTTCTAAACTGCACTTTGTCCAATGGATTCCAGGATGGTGTAAGATAAACATAATCCATGATTCATACAAATACAATAAAAACAGTACCCATGGGTGAGCAAATGCTACTTCCCTTTCTTTCCTGCTTGTCCCAATCTGCTTAGTTCCTTTTTTCCAG